GTCAACACCTTCAGTTACAGGTACGGTATTTTTGTGCAACACATTGCCTGTCTGTGTAGGCCTAGATGTCTCATTTCCGTCTACCTCAAAACTTTCAATACACATGTCCGTGGACAACGGTTCCCAAAAGCCAACTACTTGGTTACGCTTAATCTCTACATCACTGTCAGTGGGATTCATAAGCTGGTATACTGATTTACCCTGAACAGATTTAACAACACACTTTGCTCCTACTAATTGCTCATCATCATACAGAGATGGAACTGGCTCAATGATACCGTACTGGGCTTTAATGTTATTACACTGAACAGGAAGAACAGTCTGCGTTCTAGCTGGCAACGATACATTACACACTGCTCTGACAGTCACTTTCTTTGCCTCTTTACCTACTAAAGGAATCGAAGGTGCATTGGGGAACACTACGTGATTTTCCTCAAAAGATATCTTGGCCTTTTGCTCTTTCAAGAAGTCTACTCCAAGAATAATTTCATGGTTCATGGTTTCGAGGATGTAGAAAGGGTGTTCCAAACTTTGCTCCCCGATAAAAATCGGCAGGGCAACTTTGCCCACAACTTTTGTTATGTGGCCAGCGACACCGGAAATTAGGGGAACATCTGACTGACCCAATGGGAACTGATCTTGGGGAAACACTGCGTGTATGTTTTTCTTGTCATGCACGAAATCAATGCCCCAGTGTCAACTAACGCAAATCGGGAGTCTGAGCCAATTCTGACTTGAACTAGATTGCTCCCGCCTGACATGGCAGAAACATTACTCAGGTGTGGAACTTTGGGTCTCGTCTCTAGTCATTGATTAGAAGGATGAATATCATTGATATTGTTTGGTCGGTTACGTTGGAAGCACACCCTAGCAAAATGACCTATCTTATGACAAAAGTTACATTCAATACCCCAGGCCGGACATGTTTGCCTACTTATACACTCACCTCCACATCCACGGCATGGGTACATCATGGGCGGCACCGCTGCTTGGGCTCGCTGCTGTCCTGGGCCTTGCTGCTGTCGGAAAACTTGGGTTTGCTGGGGGCGGAAGTGACGCTGTCCTAACTCGTATCCCCTGCTTGGTGGCTGTCGAGGAGATGGCTGTGTGGCCGCCGAAACTGTCGTCATCTGGTCTTTGAGGGAAGCGATCTGTTCAGACAGCTGCTTGATTGCTGAGTTCACGTTCACGTCAGTGGATGAGGTTGGTTCTTGCGCTGCAGCTGTGGACTGAGCGATTCTTGCTTGCGTTACCGCCTCATCCATGGTTTTTGGGTGAGATTTGATGACATGGGCTCTGAGGTTGGGCAGCAGTCCTCTTATGAATGCCTCCATTCTCTCTTCTTGGGAGCGCTTCAGCTGACAGCACAGTTTCTCAATGTCGCTCAGGTATTTTTCGACCGCTTCGTTGGGCTGTTGCTTCCTGTCGGCCAGCTCCGACAAACGAACCCATCGCATGCCTTCGTGAGGCTCGTATTTCTTGAGGAAAGCCTGTTTTAGTGCCGCAAAGGTGCCCGTTGTTGCATTCGGCAAGTCCCTGTACCAGTAACTGGCAGAACTGGCAAGGTAGAGGGGGAAATTGCTGGCTTGTTGCACAGCCGTCCATGCTTTTTGGAGAGCATACCTCTCGTACCGGTCGATCCATAACTCGGGGTCCTCCGAGTCGTACCCGGTGAACTTTGGTAGGATAGACTCGATGTGCGCTGTACAGGCCATGGCTGATGCAGATTGTTGTTTTGACTTCGATCGCGTGAGCATGAAAAACTCGATGTTGAGAGAGGTACCCGGATTCTCCACCAAATATAACCCGTGAGGTTATATAGACAAAGTAAGACAGTAAGAGACGAAGTGGTACTTGGGATGATGTGGTTTATTCGGTTGGCTGTGACGCTCTCTGTCTGATTCCTAGATTCTACTGGGTTTTTATACAGTAAATGAACATTCCAATCTTACAGCTATCTTACAGGTTTCTTGCCTTATTAGGAGTCGTTCAGTAACTATTGAATATTAATAATACAGAATTGAAGGTGTTTGGTCAACTTGTATCTGGGGGCAGGGCTAGGCAAATTAATAGAACAATCGGATTTCCTTATAAGTCTGTGGGCTGAATCACTGTGGCCTTCCGGTGCAGCCCAGCATCCACCCACGCGGACCTTGTGGCTAAACTGGCCATTCCTTAGATGTGTCTCATTACCAGGAAAGTGGTCCTGTTCCTTGAAGGTCAACGTATACAACTTAAACAGTAAATATAAAACATGATATTTTATCATGGTGATAATATCCATTCCGATATTAGGACCCGTAAAACATTAAAAACAGTTAAAAACCAGACAGATAATTTGCGAGCTGTGTCGCCACAAGAGCAGCGCCACTAAAAAAACATTCTCGATGATTATATGGTGATCGCACTGATCTGTTTTATCAGATAGCTCGAGTTTCATTTATTAAAAATGATTTATTTTTTTAAATAAAGTTTTTAATCATAAAAAACTCTCTATCCCTTTAATAAAGAGATAGTAAGAGCCTGGTCTGGTGCCTAGACAGAGAGATATGGGGGTTTTCGCCGTACCCCCCCCCCCCCCCCCCACACACACTTATAATATAACAACTCGGAGAGAGAAGAGATATATTTGGGGAGCTAGAGGGGGAGATATATTTGGGGAAGGGGGATCTATTTGGAGGGGAGGGGGTAATTAAGGAGGGAAAGATAATGGGATTTGGAATAGTGCCTGTCCATCTCCCTACTTGAGATGCCCATCAACCCAGCAGAAGCCTTACCTACAGGATCCAATGCAGGATGGAAGACCTGGAGATGCTTAAATCGCCTCCGCTCTGGAGTGGCTCGCACCAAAAGCACCATGAAGAAGTAGGGCTCTTCCCCAACTGACAAACACCCTGTGTGAGTGCGGTACTGCAGAGGACAGTGCACAACATCTTCATATTTGGATGCCTGGCACTAAATGGTTGGTCGTATTTTGCATTTAAATAAATACAGGTCCTCAAAATCAACATTAGCCCTTAAAGGGAAGCGGATTTCCCCCCCCCCCCCTCAACTTTTTCCGCGATGCCCTTGAAAAATTATTTATTTCGGAGCCAGAGCTGTCCTGACCTTTTAGCCTCGAATCTTGCACATCTTTTGATATCAAAAACATAAAATTCAGACCACAGGTTGCCGCGGAGCGAATTGTTTTTCGGCGCTACCCACCGTCAAAACCGAATTTCTCCATATACGTAGTGTTCACATTTGAATTACCATACGTGTTCATGAATAATTAATTAGCCATAATTCCCAAACCCCTTGACCTATAGTCATGAAATTTCTTGGGTATACTTATGTTCAGTTGTTCTATGCATGTACCGAGTTTTATAATTTTTCGTCACTCGATGGCCGAGGTCATGGGGGGGGGCAGAATCCGTGTCAGATGGTCAAAATAACCCGGACCATTTCGGGTAAAAGTGACATTTTCCCATGTTTTCTTTAGCAAAACCCATAAATACATTAATAATAACATTTATTATAATGACGAAACTCTCAACCAAATACAATATGTACTCACTTGCCTCAACAATTTTTGCAAACCCTTCCGGAAGGCAAATTTTAGGTAAAAATGACCCATGAACTTTGACCTCAGGTCAAGGTCACTAAAGGTCAATGGAAACTAGAACGGCGAAGCCGCCATGGCTCGCTGGTAAATGCGAATCAAACTATTTGGTTGAATACAAACTCATGTTGGGGAACCTTGATACAAGCAAATTGCAAATGAGGCTGATATATTATGCAAGGAAATCATAATAAGCAACTAAGTGTGAGCTTTGCCATAATTTATATGAACAGAAAATACAGAAAGGTTGGTTAATGCATCAGTAGCCTATGTATGTAAAAAAAATAAAGGGCACTAGTTTTGGCATGTATTTTTGTTACTTGTTCCAATTATGCATCACGCTACAATCATCATGTATTTGATAATCAACATACCGTACCAGTGATCTCCTCTTACTTATGAGCATCATCCAGCATTCACTCTCTATTATGTTACTCTTTTCCAGCCTGACAGCTGATCCCAAAATGTGAATGCAAGTGTGACGTCATGACAACGTCATCAGCTATCAGATTAAAAGCATTTCAACATCATTTCAATTACAACTGAACAAAATTAACAATGCACCTCATTATTTAGTACACATCCATTTTAGTTTGCACAAAACTGGTCTAAATACAAACTGTTCATGCAAACCATCCAACTGTTGTGACGTTATCAAATCTGAAGATATAGGCCTATGTATAATGAAACAATTTTGTGCCAGATAAGCTTGTGTTTGAAATCGAAACAAACATGAATCTCTTAATTTATTTATTTGCAAAAAGTATAATAAAAGATGACAAATTATTACTCTTTTCTGTAAAAAGAACAACTAGTCAATGACATGGTCAATGTAAAAAGAACAAATAGTCAATGACATGGTCAATGTAATAAACAAATTATTCCTTTTGCACTTCAGCTGAATTTTAATGAATTAAATATTCAATGTAATGTACACAAAAGAGATTTAACTTTTCAATGATTTAGAAGTACATATTATTGAAAAGTAAATATATGTGATTACCAAGGATAAAAGTGCAATTTAGGCCCCCCCCAAAAAAAAATTCGGTTTCTGGTCAGACCAAAGTTCCGGAATTGACGCGGCCAACCGGCTTTCTTTTTTTTTTTCCTTTTTTTTTTTTTTTCTTCAGCTTGGATTGTACAGACAAGGTGGGTACTATTTTGCTTTTTTTGGTGTCCTCATGTATATTGGTGGCCTCCATAATTTGCCTTGGTGCTTTCGATCATTTGCCTTGGTGCAATTTCCCATTCCTTGGTGCTCTTTGGTAAAAAAATTGAGGAGGTGCGGAAATAGAGGGCGCTGTTGGAGCTACCGCGGAACATTTTGGAAAAAAAAAAGATCGACACGCATGCTTAAAATCGACGCGCGCGCTGACAAGAGACCGACTTATTTTTTTTTGGCCTTAGGAAAGTAATAATGATCCATTACTTTACCTCATAAATGGTCATCTAATCTCTAATGGCTATCCACGTTGGCTTGTGATCAGAATAGCAGCTTTCTAGTGTCCCTGCATGAAGCTTATCTGTATCCAGGTTTGTGAAGATGAGGTCAAGTGTAGAACCATAATCTGTTGTTGGTTTGTGGATGAGTTGATGCAGGCCATACTTGGTTGATATCAAAGTAATAAGTCTTGCAGTGTCATTGTTTCCAGTACTGACATCAATATTAAAGTCTCCTCCTAATACTAGTTTGTTGTAGAGAAAATTTTCCAAAACGTCCTGTAATGTGCTTAAAAGCTTCTCGACGAGTACCCGCGGAGGGCGATAAATACTAATGATGCTGATGTCTTGGTCAATAGCTCCTATATTCCTGAGGATCACCACTTCTATTCCATACATCATTAAAGCTGTCGTGTGGAGCCTTTCGATATTAACATCGTTTCGAACATATGTTATTGTTCCGCCATGTGGACGATGACTTCCATCCAGTTGTTGAGAGCAAATGTTTCCTTGAACAGTAATTGCAAAGTTTTCCAGTTTATAGTGATCTTTACTATCTGTGGACTTCTCCCATGACTCTTGAAAAATGAGAACATCAGAACTTAGTAGGTTCTGATTTGATCGGACATCATCAATGTGCTTATGCAATGATCTTGTGTTGTGAAATACAATTTTGAATCTGTCTGCAAGCCGGTCCAGTAGCTGATAACTCCAGGTGAACTCTATCTTTCGTAAGCGGTCCATTTCTTCCTTCACAGCTTGAGATACGACAATCTTGCTTGGATCAAAGTCACTTAAATACAGTCCTGACAAGCTTGTTACTCTGCTGAGGGCTACATACATCAAGTGAGCCTGATTGAAGCCTTTGAAAGACAAAACAGCTTGATCCAGAGTGGTTCCTTGAGATTTGTGAACTGTCATAGCAGATGCTGGATGCAGGGGGAATTTACGCCGTAGAACTTCAATTTGTTTGTAATGGCCCACTCGGAACTGTTTATGAATCTGGAAAACTGGAGTCCAAGAAGCATCAATCTGGTCATGATAAAAATGTACATTGGATGCACGAATTTGTCTCCCAACCTCACGAAGGTCTTGATCAAACAAAACCCATATTATACAAGGTGCAACTGAGGATCCCTGCTGAGGTGATTCAATGTATTTAACAACACCAGTGGCTCCATTGGTCAAACCGTCCCCTGTGTCAACATTATGTACCAACATATATCTGCCATCAATTTTTACATGAAGGTCATACATCAAATTCTGCGTCTGCTGAGTGGTCATTTGTAAAACCTTAGCTAGTACAGTTTTCTTCAAACCACTTGTAACATCACCCAAAACACAGTCAGTTGCAAATATGTGCCGTCCAGCTGTTGAGAGCGCACCAAGGGTTATCTCATTATGATGGTTAACAAGATCATGCTTGGTAAACAAATGGAGAACATTCGTAGGACTTCTCACTGATTCTGAAACAATTCGACACTTAACAATAGTGATGTCATCATTCGTCTGCTTTCCCTCTCGAATTCTGTTGAGAGCATTGGCAAATGGCTGGTCTTCGCTTTGTCTCATGATCTGAGTAAGCTCAAACATTGTCACCAGACTTTCCCACAGCACTGGGGCTAAGGATGCGTATGGAGTGGCTCCATGTTGAAATATCCACCTGTCTTTAACTGGACGAAGTTGAAAAAGATCTCCAACTAGCAACAGATTTATTCCACCAAAAGGTATGTTGTTTCCCATGACATCCTGCAGCCTCTGATTAATGAAATTAAACATGTTGGCACCAACCACAGATATCTCATCGATAATTACCAGTTTGATATGTCTCAGTTTTGACCTCAATGTATTCAGCCTACTTTGATCAAGTTGCCTGTATTCTAACTTTTGATTTGCTGGAACAAGAAATGTAGAATGTAGGGTACTGCCTTGAATGTTAAAAGCTGCTTTTCCTGTAGGTGCTGTCAGCAGAACTTTAGTGTCTTCTGGATTTTCTCCGGGTATTGAATCGTAGAACTTTAGTAATGTGTGATATATGGCCAATAAACAACGACTTTTGCCAACACCAGCTCCCCCAGAGAGAAACAAGCAGAATGGTTTGTCTCCTGTCTTCATCAGATGAAGTATGTGGTACATAAATGCTTGTTGATCTGTATTTAAAGAGATCATCAGCTGTTTGTATTCATCTTTAGAAATCCTGTGTGGAATAAGATCTTGTTGTGTTTGCTGCTGGCCAGGACAGCCCAACACTTCCCCAAAGTCAGAATATCCATGTGTTGCAGAGTCTGGATGTAATACAGCCATCCTGCCGGCACTATCGCCATGATTTTCATCTTCGTCAACTTCTGTGTGACGCGTAAGTGGTACCATCTCATCCCAAGCTTTCTCCAATTGCTCTTCTGTCTTTATTTCTTCAAGAGCTCTGTCAATTTCTTGTGCACTGTGCTCAAACATGGAAGCTGTCAAGTTTACTTGATCTTTTAAAGTGTTGTATCTGTCCTCATACAATGAATAATTCATCAAAATATCGGTGCTTTCATGTCTCCAGGGTATGTACAACATCAGTTTTTCTCTGAAGTAGTTTTCTGGATCGGCATCTTTAGAATATCTCACACATCTGATGATTTTAGGAAATTGCCGTCTGTAAAGAAAACTTCCATCACTTAACTGGTATTCCAGAACACCTTCTTCTTGTCTGAATGGATCATCAACAAAATCTTCCTCATATGTTTGTTCTGGCACTTCTTTCTTTGACTTCATTTTCTTCAGGACAAAATTCTTTTTTTTCCACTGATAACATGAAGCAAATTCAGCTAGCGACACCTTCTCCATCTCCTTGGGTCGAGATGCATACCTATCAATTAAACCAGTGCAAACAACATCGGTGCAGTCCTCAGGCATTTGGTCCAGAATGGTGACCTTTTTAATGATGACAACACGTTTACATTCAGGAGAAGTATTGAAGAAAACTGTATCCCGACTTGCCCTACTCAAAGGAAGTTGAAGAAGTAGATAAACAGCTTCTTGAGCAGATATCTCACAGTGGTTCAGAAATTTATTTGCCATGAACTTGATTTGTTGCTTGACACCATAGTTGCCTCGTTTTGCGTCTTCACATGCTTGGTTGAGAAGGAGACTCATACCTCTTTGGCTTTTCAGCATATAGGAAGTAATGTAGACAACACAGCCGTAAGCATCTAATATGTACTGCAAATCTGTGTTTGCTTGCCAAATTCGGGCACATGCGTCATTACGCATATTCGTACGAATTTCCATTGGAGTTCGTTTCAGAAAAACTTGTGTCTTCTTCAGCGAAGAACGTACTGCCCAAACATATTCATCCTGTGATAGTTTTAACTGTGATAACAGTTCTTCGAAAGAAATATTTTCACCATATTTCATTAAGTGTAACTGTTGCTTTATTTTGTCGAAATTTTGCTGGTGTTTTGCTTTTGCTTCAGGTGGCACATCATCAGGCAGGGGCTCAAGAATTGATGTAGCAGACATTGGAGGAATTGGAAATCCAAATCGACATACAAGTTTGCCACCTTTTTTACAGGTCTTTGTGTGTTTGTGTTCATGTAACTTGGATATCCCAATAACTCAGCATCTTCAGTGTGTCTTTTACAGGTGATGTATTTATCTATGAAGTCGATGACAACATCATCAGCATCCCTTCCATGCTGGGGAGCACCTTTGATCCAAAATAAGCAATGTATGTGTGGGGAGCCACGCTGCTGAAATTCTACCCTGTAGAAAAAGTCATCAATTTGTCCAATCGGAGAAAGAGTGGATTTAAGTACACCATGAAAGAACACCTGAACTCTGTGATCAAAATGCCTAGCACTTAATACTGGATCACTCTGAATTAATTCAGACTTTTGCTGCCAAGTCAAATTCAAGATATCTTGATCAGAGAGAATTTTTCCATTGACACTGAGACTTAAGTTCTTCAGAAGGTCTGTCCATTTCGTTTCTGCAGCAGAGAACGATCCAAAAAATGTTGGTATGCCCAACTGGCGGATCATGGCAAAGATGTCTTTTTGGCGAGCCTGCCAATATGGTGGAGATGAGCGGAGTGTCTTCAAAACACGATAGCCCTGGTCGACATGAATTAAATCATCAAGTGCTCCTGGTTGTCTAAGATATCCAGCTGTATATGTATCACTGACATTTGTTGTTTTACGCAGAGCAGTCATTGCCAGATCTCTGATCTGTAAAGTTTGAAGTTTCTTCAGTTTAAAAAACAAATTGGGAACTGACATAGCAAACCGTCGGTCAGCACTGCGTAGTTCAGCTTTACAAATTGAGCTATATGTAAGTGGAGTTGTGCGTTGTGCATTATCCAGCCTACGTTTACCACAGAAGAGGGTGGGAAATGACTTCTCCTCACAATCTTTATCCAAGAAAATATTGATGGGATGATTACCTTCTCCTGGTGCTATTTTCAATGCATGTTGTCCATCACTTGTGAAGTCATTGGGGTAAAGCATTGTGTCCCTATTACCCCCTGAAAATTGCTCTGCAGTGGAAATTTCAGTCCAGTCGTCAGACTCTTTATTTCGATTCTCACCACTGATATCATCGTCATCATCCAAACTGGCCTCAATGTTGCCAACCTGTGTATCTACGTTCATATCCAGGTCATCATGTTTCGCTATGAAGTTAACTGTTGTTGTGTCATTCCACTCTTGATTCTTCCAGGCCATATCTAACTGTATATTTTCATCTTGGTAAATCGGACTGTTCTTCACAAGCCATTCAGCAGCATCAAATATTTTCTTTGGTCGCACAGTTTCATAGTGATATGGAGTTTTATATTTCAATCTTCTCATTAATTTCAACTGGATTGTCTCCGTGTCTTGAAATGAGCGAGGGAGTGCAGCTACAGTTTTACACACATCAACAGGTACATTAACAACATTCCCCCTGATGCCAAATTGGTGGTCTCTCCCTAATTCTCTTATCTGCATAAATGGAATACGGGGTGATATGCATCTTTCCTCTAATGTAGTCAAGTTCTTCAGTGGAGCAGGAACATCTTCAAAACAAAGACCATTGGCAACTGCCATGGGTGGAAGTTTATGCAGCAACATATGAGAATGACATGTTTTGCAGATCCACTCAACTCCAGCTTGGCTGACTATTCCACGGAGGCATGAATTGAGGAGAGTGGCTTGAATGTTTTTGGATTCCAATGACATCTTTGAAGCAACGTTGACACTGTGTCGATAAAATAAACCATTACAACATGTGCAAACATAATTTGGCCCTTCTTTGGTGTCAAAGAAAAACTTTATTTTAACTTCCGTCACAGAGAGCTGTCTTTCCTTTTGTTGTTGCCTTCTTGCTTTGTCAAGTTGCCTTTCACGTTGGAAGTAGCTTGTGTTCATTCGCTGGTTTCTTTTCCGGATTCTTTCATGATCCTTAGCTGACTTATTAGGTTTGCATTTATTTCGTTTACTCCGTACAAGTTCCAAGTCTTTTACTCTTTGTTTACTTCTGTATTCTGGGTTACTTCTTCTTCTATGTAAACTTGTCAATTCTTTTACTCTTTCTTTACTTCTGTAGCCTGGGCTACTTCTTCTTCGACGTACACTCTTCAATTTTTTTACTCTTTGTTTACTTCTGTATTCTGGGTTACTTCTTCTTCTATGCAAACTTTCAAATTCTCTTTCTTTTTCTTTACTTCTGTAATCTGGGTTACTTCTTCTTCTTAGTATACTTTCTAAATCTTTTTCTTTTTCTTTACTTCTGTAGTCTGGGTTACTTTTTCTTCTTTGTATACTTTCTAATTCTTTTTCTTTTTCTTTACTTCTGTAATCTGGCTTACTTCTTCTTCTTTGAATACTTTCTAATTCTTTTTCTTTTTCTTTACTTCTGTAGTCTGGGTTACTTCTTCTTCTTTGTATACTTTCTAATTCTTTTTCTTTTTCTTTACTTCTGTAGTCTGGGTTACTTCTTCTTCTTTGAATACTTTCTAATTCTTTTTCTTTTTCTTTACTTCTGTAGTCTGGGTTACTTCTTCTTCGATGTACACTTTCTAATTCTTTTTCTTTTTCTTTACTTCTGTAGTCTGGGTTACTTCTTCTTCTTTGAATACTTTCTAATTCTTTTTCTTTTTCTTTACTTCTGTAGTCTGGGTTACTTCTTCTTCGATGTACACTTTCTAACTCTTTTGCCTTCTCTCCGTCTCTGATCTCTGAAACATCTCTTCTTTTCTTTTTGCAATTGCTTTCCCACACAGCTTCCTTTTTCCTAAATTCTGGGTCTTTTCGTCTCAGTTGCTTCCTAAGGCGATCTTTTTCTCTTTTAAGTTCCATCTTGCTTTTTTCCATTTGTACTGTTTGACTCGATTCACTGGGTAGGCGATCTTGATTTGTCGACTGTTTTTCCGTTGTTTTGAGAGTTTCCGTTGTTGTGGGAGTTTGACTGAAGCGATGTTTAGCTATCTGTGTTGATGATTGGCACTTGACACTGACCTGTTTTTTCTTAGAAGCAAATTGTTGCTGCTGGTTGAATTCCCGTACAAGCCAAGTAAATTCTGTTGTGTTGTTTTCAGTGCGCATCTCCATGAGAGATGTTTCACCAGACTGATGAACGCTCAATACTGCCTCATAATGGTTACCATTCTTGTGATGAATATAGAACGATCGGTCACTAACTTGAGCATTTCTATCCAGCATCTTTCCTGTAAATTTATGCCATCTGGGATTTGCAGTGTTGTTGTTTCCAGCTGAGTAAATATAAATATCCGTCCCCAAAAGATGAGCAGCAGTAAATATCTCCACATCAGTGGCCCATGAACCGTCCTGTGACATATTACTCCGAGCTAAATAAACCGGTAGAGACGTCCTTTCATCAAAGCAAAACTTCTCCACAGGCATCCTGATAACATTCATGTGGGACACAACCAAACTTCGCAATTCACCATGAAATCTTTCACTTCCTGTAACTAAATAACTGAGAGTCCTAAAGAAACAGTTTCCATCGCCAATAATAGGTGCAATCGATGCCGGTTTCCCTGCTGAGTGAGCCAAGTTACACTCGGGTAAAATACTGACAAGTGGCAATGACAATTGTTGACAAAGTCGCATCTGCAAACCTACATCTATTCTATGAAATGCAAAGCTCCGTTGACTTCTGCCTTGAAAACTAACACTTTCTAATTGTGTTTGACTGTCATGATTTATGGTGTGTTTTGCCAGTGGAGATGACACATGTTTGGTACCGGTAGTTATTTGCTGCGATAGTTGAGACTGGTCATCAGGGTGGGTACTTATTTGCTGCGATAGTTGAGACTGGTCATCAGGGTGGGTACTTATTTGCTGCGATAGTTGCGACTGGTCATCAGGGTGGGTAGACTGTGAGGAAAAGGAATCCACAGCAGTAGTCGGTAGTTTTCTTGGATTAGAGCCTTGACTCTTCACAGCTGCTGCATATGACACATGTGGTGTCTTTGATGAAGTATGGGGATTGCATTTGTGATGTTGAAGTCTCTGATATGACGAATAAATTCTGTTGCAGTCACTGCACCACGTACACTTGTGATTCTGCAGGGTCTTGGCACCCTTGTATGTCTTGTGGCATGAGTGGCATTCCATTGTGTTTGATGAAGATGAAGAGAATTATCTGTCAAAAGAAAGTAGAATATAATAACTTGAAACTGCAGCAAAAGCTCTTCTGGTTGACCTGTGTGCCATTCAAAGATTGAGTGGTGACAGCTCAAAAACACCATTTTGATAGGCAACGAAAAGATCACCTTCTTCAAATACAGATGAATCATTTATCTTTTCCCTGTGACTCAGCTTCCACTTTTGCCAAAGCTTTTAATAAGGAGTCATCATCTTCATCATCGGTACTGAAGGAGGACTGAGAAATTCCTGACACATTTTCATGTGTCTTTGCTGAAGAATTTGATGATGAGTAGGAACAGATTTGCTTCGATGAGCAGGAACTACCAGGGGATACATTGGCAACCTTTAATTCAGGATTTTTTGTATTTGGTGTAGAGGTTAGATTTGTTTGTCTAGATCTTAGGTACTTCACTGAACTGTTCAGGGAACAAATCTTTTTAGCCATGTTTCCATCATAATCCTGTATTTGTCTTTTTAAGGTTTTGACATCAAATTCTATTCTATTCATGGTCTTTTGAAGATCACTTGTAACTATTTCTTTGGCTTCTTTCATATTTTTTGCATGGTCTACCTTATAGAGGCAGGCCAAAACGAAAGCGTCCACCGTAGTTTTGATGTTGTCCAGATCTTTGATGATTTCTCCTGCCATGTGATTCTTTGTCGGAAGCTCTGCAACAGTAAGATTAACATTAAAAAGAATTTTGAAAATGTCTTGCATTTCATTAGATCCAATGAATCCGTAAAAATTATTTGAATTTACTAACTAGGCCTTCATGCATATTTCAAGTATTAGTTAGACTACATGTAACCCTGTATGCTAGAACTCACCAGTCTCCTTCTAATAATGGCTGAATATTATCATGTTTTGCTGTATTGATTAGTTTTACATCATTTGGGGAATTTGAGGCCTTCTGTGATACTAACACAACTGCAAAACTACTGACGTTGTAAAGTTACTTTTTGGTTAGGAAATACTACAGTCCGAAAGCCCAGTGTGGTTTAATTAGAACATCTAGCATAAAAGGTTTGATGGTGGTAGCTAGCAGCTGGGGGTGTCAGACCTTCAGAACTGTGTCACATCCCTTGCATTTTGCATTACCCAAACTCCCCCCGAATCAACTTGTAATTGGAATATCGCACACGAGCACTGTCCAATGCCAAAAGACATTATTTAATTAGTTGATTCATGATTAATAATTTAAGAATGAAAAATCCCCTGCATTCCATGCTTATAAATGGCCCAATTAACGTTACTTTTTTGCCATTAATTAGAATTTTTAGCACAAGAGTGAAACCGTCACTTAAAGCTAATCAACAAAATTATAATGCAACAGCCACAACTTGTGTGTGTGTGTTTAACTGGATTGTTGAGCAGAAACACATTGAACAGAAAGGGCTAAAATATAGGAAACTTGAATTTTTGTTTTCACGAAGAGACACATTCTAATTAGTGGGTTCACGTACAAATTCAGCTCTCATAGAATCATGTGAAAGTTCCTTACTGCCCAAAGTTGTTGCAAAGTAGTATTTTTTTGCAGTTTTAAAACAGGAGAAACTTCTTTTGTGATAAACGCTTTATCTTCAAAATTCACATATCGTCACCGTTTTCATGAAGAGCAACATAAAAATGATGTGGATTTTGAAAAAAAAAATGTTTTCGAGATAATCGCAAAAGAAGTTTCTCATATTTTAAAACTGCATAAAATACCACTTTGCGACAACTATGGGCAGCAAGGAAACCATCACATGATTCTATGAGAGCTGAATTTTTACATGAACCCAGTAATAAGACTTAATACAGCAGTTAAATGGTGACAATTAATTAGTAAAGATATGTGGCTGTTCCTGAAAACGAAAATTCAGGTTTCCCACATTTTGGCCTTTTCTGTTCAACATGTATTTCGAGAGACGCTAAAAATGTAACAAAGATTTGTGGCTCTTCGTGAAAATGGAAATCTCAGTTGACCTACTTTTGCGTATTTCCGTGCAATAGGTTTTGTACACATTCAAGGGGCCAAAATGTATGTGGCTCTTCATGAAAATGCAAATGCAAATTTATCAAGATTTCTGCCCCTTGCAACATTAATGTAACTTGGAAATTAATGATGTTTTGCTTACAGAAATATGTCCAAAAAAATAAGTACATATGTACATTGTTTTAAAGCAAAATATTGAAGAAAAAAATCGAAATCGAAAAATTATAATTTTTGACAGACATAATGTGGCTCTTCGTGAAAACGGTACATGTACATGTAGGGTAGACCAGTTACTTAAATTTTAAACACTTTATAAATTATAAGGAAGACCAACTTCCATCTTCAAACATTTCCTTGCATGGACCAAACCATGTATTTACATGTAATGTAGACCAGGAGTGTATTGTATCATCATGCTATGCAAGGAAACATGATAGAGGCGTCGACACACACAAAATAAAGACTTTTTGGTTTTTTGGTCATATTTAAACATACTTGTATATGAACAACTTTACAGTGCTTTCAGGACAAGTTCAAGATTTTTGCTATCTTACCTTATAGAATGCAGAAGCTGAAGAGAAGACAAAGTGTAGAGCACAAAAGCTGGACAACGCTGGTGCATGTAATGTGCATGTATTGTATTGTACATGTAGGCCTACATGTACATGTACAGTGTACTTATAGTAGATCTGTGCAGTTTCACCACAATCAGGAATGCATTATTCTCTAATTACCCCATGTTACTAAATGCAGGTATGCAGACCCCTGTTCACTTAACAGTTTAATGATAATATTCAAAGGGATATATTTCTTTATAAAAGACGACTGCAAAGGAGATTATCGACATGTGCAGACTGTGTTCAAAGAATGTCAAAAATTGGCAAGACAATATCAGGCAAACTTTTCTCAACTCTTTGGTCAGTAAAATCCCTGACAGTGAAGGGTCCTGAGTCTTTAAACTGGACTGTCACAGATCATTAAGTAGTAAAAAATAAATACAAATAGCTCAATAATCCCTTCATTTACTATAACAGGCAAAAGAACAGGCAGGAGGCATTAAGGGATTAGGCTAAGGGATTAGGCTAAGGGATTAGGCATAATAGGAGTGTGGAATGCCCAGGGGATGTGGACCCAGTGAAAAATAACTGTTTGTAGATCTGCAGAAATACATTAGTACACCTGTGTGTAAATTTAAAAGATCAATGAATGGTGCATATGTGAAGTTCCTCATACATTAAACCCAAAATTAACCCCATCCCATCTCTACCACATGTGGCATGATATGTGGCAGAGGGACCCCCCCCCCCTTGTGTTTGGTCATGGTGATACCGGAATCGCAGGAATTCTTTTGAGGTATCTGGGGATGTGTTAGGTACCGATAACAATAGTCTCTGGGCTGTATAGGGTATAGGGAGATGGGGGGGGGGGAGAGAGAGCGCCTTACTGTCTCACATCGTGCCAGGTATAATCACAGCCTGAGCCCAATTCCATCATCCCCCACCCCATCATCCCACCACATATCTCCAACCAATTATTATTCCATCCAATTTCCACATCCCACTAACCCATCATCGCATCACATCACCCCACCTTACCATCCCACTCCATCCTGCCCATCCCCCACATCCTACCTCACCTCACCCCACCAAACTCCAGCCATCCTTCCCCCAATTCCATCATACCCCCATTCCACAAGATGTAGGGACAAATGGGGTGACAGTACCGGTATGGTTGTGGGGCAGTCAGTATCTAATAAATGTACTTTATATGGAACATATATTCACATGAATGGTATTCGTTTTGATACAAAAGAACCACCCATGCATGAATGACCCTTTTCCCTTCGATATGTAACCAAAGCAAAATCAATTTTAATAGAGGTTTGGTAAAGTTAAGAATGGATGGTACAGTGGTAAAACATGTACAATCAAATGTACATGTGCATCCCAATGTAAAGTTATGTTCTTGTAATTACATTTCCATATCCATGCAAAGTGATGTACAATAACAAAAACTTTAACATTTTTGAATTAACTTTCCTTACTAAAATCATAAAGTTAACTACAAGGAGTGAACTCCAATTTGAGGTTGTCAAGCTGAATTATGATAAGTTCTAAATTTAACTATCAAGGAGCAAAAAAACTTTAACACTTTAATCTGAATGCGGACGGCCGGACGGCCGGACGGACGGACGGACGGACGGACGGACGGACGGGCGCCCGGACAGACGGACGGAAATTGGTATTACATAGGCTCGCATCTGCTTCGCAGCTCGCCAAAAATGGCAACATCAATTTTCTTGTTCTCAGGACTCATGAGATTACATTTATAATGGTTGCCATAAATTAACATGAAATTTCCACGGGAACCCAAATCTGTACATTGCCCCCCCCCCCCCCCACTACGTGAGGAATGTGAACGTTCAACCAATGAAAGTCTAAAGGGCACCGGATTTCATGGGAGTCAAAATTTCATGTAACACTGGGAAAGTACGAAAGCCCATTAGCGCCACTGCAAGTATATGTTAGTAATTCGTTATTACGGATTATTAATTCGTTATTACGGATTATTTATTCGTTATTACGGATTATTTAATTCGTCATTACGGATTATTAATTCGTTATTACGGATTATTAATTCGTTATATCGGATTATTAATTCGTTATTACGGATTATTTAATTCGTTATTACGGATTATTAATCCGTTATAATTACGGATTATTTAATTCGTTATTACGGATTATTAATTGGTTATTACGGAATATTTAATTCGTTATTACGGATTATTAATTCGTTATTACGAAATAAATCTGGTACTCACATGCGGAGAGCTTGTGATCAGAATGCACTGAGAGCTGGATAGGGTTTAATCAAAATGCACAATTTTGGGAACAAATCCCCAGATTGTCTTAAAGCATATCATCGACCCTGATCACAGAATGACCGGTCTTAAGTTTCGCTAGATCAGACAAAGGCCCATTGGCGGCATGCAGCAAATTTTACATTTAATCAAATTTGAGAACAAGATCAAATCAAGTATCATTAGCTTGGAACTTGTTGATTATGGAAAAAAAATTAAGAGTGATTTTAGATCAGACTAATAAACTTAAAAGCGGCGCAAAAATCGCAGAGGGGGGTGGCCTTTACGCCCACCCTTTTTTTTTTGCTAATACCCTTGCGACACAACGGTAGAGGAGAAAATAAAACCAGCTTGTATTGGTGCCTTGGCACTTGTGAAATATGAAAATATGACTAAAAAGTGATTTTAGGTCAGAATAATTAACTTAAGAGCGGCGTGAAATACGGAGGGGGAGGGAGCGCAACCCCCTCCATTTTCAGTTTTTCCTTATATCGTCGCAATGCACTTTTTAAATCCCGCCAGGTTTCTCTGACAGTTGTTCAAATGTCCTGTGGTTATTTTGACACCAAGTTTACGTAAATAGGGCATACCTTCGTCGCAAAATGTCCATTTACCAAAACAGGTCGATTTAAATGTGAACTTTTTTCACCACATTGACCATGTTTAATTTACATGTGCATGAGAGTGCGCATGAGATCGAAAGTGCCGACTTTTTAATGACCACGACAACAAATCATTTTAACAGGTTAAATTGAAAGTCCACACGTGTACTACAAATATTTGGGTTTCCATTCAAATAATTTCAGATGTGGGAGGAGCATATCAGACCTCTGGTACCCTGGGATGGGTCCATTAACTTTGTATACAAACTTATTACTATTTATCATTTATATTCTTCAAAATGCCAGCTTTTCGTGAACAAAGTCACAGTAGTGCAAAGGAAGGATTTTGCAACTATTATTCTACACTCATGTTGGCAGCAGCAACAATGATACGACTGCAAAGAAGGCTTTGGATATGGGCGTCGCGAGGAGGGGGGAGGCAAGGGGGACGCTTGCCCCCCCCCCCCCAAGGAAAACAAAGACAAAAAAAAGGGAAAGAAAACGAGGCACGATGTAATATTGCTGTAAATTTAATATGTTCGGGGGGTGTCCCTGTCCCCTCTAAAAAAATGTATAGAGAATATGTTGAGAAATATGTTTTGCCCCCCCCCCTCTTGAATTTTTTTTTAATCCGTAATAACGAATTAAACATCCATAATAACGAATTAATAATCCGTTATAACGAATTAAATAATCCGTAATAACGAATTAAATAATCCGTAATAACGAATTAAATAATCCGTAATAACGAATTAATAATCCGTAATAACGAATTCAATAATCCGTAATAACGAATTAATAATCCGTAATAACGAATTCAATAATCCGTAATAACGAATCAATAATCCGTAATAACGAATTAAACATCCGTAATAACGAATTAATAATCCGTTATAACGAATTAAATAATCCGTAATAACGAATTCAATAATCCGTAATAACGAATCAATAATCCGTAACAACGAAATAAATAATCCGTAATAACGAATTAATAATCCGTAATAACGAATTAAATAATCCTTAATAACGAATTAATAATCCGTAATAACGAATTAACAATCCGTAGTAACATATACTTGCAGTGGCGCAAATGGGCTTTCGTAGAAAGTGTTTAAGACCAGCTAGCCATGTCTTTATCATCTGTTTAAGACCGGCCAAGTGACGGGCTCTCGACCAATAGGAATGCGTAAACTGTCTTAGGTATTTATGAATATATAGTAAAAAGACTAGATCGGCAGCGTACGAAAGCCCATTAGCGCCACTATATATGTTACAGATTATTTAATTCGTTATTACGGATTATTAATTCGTTATTACGGATTACTAATTCGTTATTACGGATTATTAATTCGTTATTACGGATTATTTAATTCGTTATTACGGATTATTAATTCGTCATTACGGATTATTTAATTCGTTATTGCAAATTATGAATTCGTTATTACGGATTACTAATTCGTTATTACGGATTATTAATTCGTTATTACGGATTATTTAATTCGTTATTGCGAATTATGAATTCGTTATTACGGATTACTAATTCGTTATTACGGATTATTAATTCGTTATTACGGATTATTTAATTCGTTTTTACGGATTATTAATTCGTGATTACGGATTATTAATTCGCTATTACGGATTATTTAATTCGTTATTACGGATTATTAATTCGTTATTAGTGATTATTTAATTCGTTAATATGGATTAATTTTGTTTAAGAGGGGGGCAAAGCATATTTCTCAACCGTTTATTCTCTATTTAATTCTTTTTTTAGAGAGGACAGGGACATCCACCCCAACCCATTAAATTTACAGCAATATTACATCGCGTCGTCCATGTCCAAAGCCTTCTATGGAGTCGTATCATCGTTGCAGCTGCCAGCAGAAAAAAAAAGGAAACGGATGTTAAAGGTCCCTCCATTGTCTTTTGGGTCTGAGTGTAGAATAATAATAGTTGCAATATCCTTCCTTTGCACTTCTCGAAAAGCTGGCGTTTTGAAGAATATAGTGATAAGTTTGTATACAAAGTTAATTGACCCATCCCAGGGTACCACAGGTCTGATATGCTCCTCCGATCCCACATCTAAAATTATTTGAATGGAAACCCAAATATCTGTAGTACATGTGTGAAGTTTCAATTCAACCTGTTAAAATTATTTGTTGTCATGGTCATTAAAAAGTCGGCACTCTCGATCTCATACGCACTCTCATGTAAATTAAACATGGTCAATGCGATGGGAAAAGATAACATTTAAGTCGACCTGTTTTGGTAAATGGACATTTGCGACGAGAGTATGCCCTATTTACGTAAACTTGGTATCAAAATAACCACAGGACATCCGAACAACTGTCAGAGAAACTTGGCGGGATTTAAAAAGTGCATTGCGACGAAATAAGGAAAAAATGAACATGGAGGGGTTTGCGCTCCCTCCCCCTCCGTATTTCGCGCCGCTTCTTAAGATAATTATTCTGACCTAAAATCACTCTTTAGTCATATTTTCATATTTCACAAGTGCCAAGGCACCAATGCAAGGTGTTTTTTATTTTCTCCTCTACCGTTGTGTCGCAAGGGTATGAGCGAACAAGAAAATGTGGGGGTAAGGGCCACGCCCCCTGCGATTTTTGCGCCGCTTTTAAGTTAATTAGTCTGATCTAAAATCACTCTTAATTTTTTCCATAATCTACTAGTTCCAAGCTAATGATAGTTGATTTGATCTTGTTCTCAAATTTGATTAAATGTAAAATTTGCTGCATGCCGCCAATGGGCCTTTGTCTGATCTAGCGAAACTTAAGACCGGTAATTCTGTGATCAGGGTCGGTGATACTATGCTTTAAGACAATCTGGGGATCTGTTCCCGAAATTGTGCATTTTGATTAAACCCTATCCAGCTCTCAGTGCATTCTGATCTCGTGCTCTCCGCATGTGAGTACCAGATTTATTTCGTAATAACGAATTAATAATCCGTAATAACGAATTAAATAATCCGTAATAACGAATTAAATAATCCGTAATAACGAATTAAATAATCCGTAATTACGAATTAATAATCCGTTATAACGGATTAATAATCCGTAATAACGAATTAACCATGCCCCATAGGAAAGCGCACAAAGTACCCCGATAGTTGTGTAAAAAAAATATCGCCCCCCGCCCGCGTAATTTTTATTCCTAGGAGGGTTAGGGGCAATGTCATGAATAATTCATGTTTATCCATGAGAACGGACAATGACATCAACAGCATTGTTGTTAGTTACTCAACTAGTTACAATACATTAAAGCATTTTAAAGAACAGTTGTCGTCGAGCTACCACACAGTAGCCTAGTGGATAGCGAGACGAGCTATGGATACAAAGATCCCTGGTTTGAATCCACGTCGTCGCTGCTCATTTTCATCAGCTATTTTTCTTCTCCAAATTTATCACTGAGATAATTTCAAATTAAGGGGAAAATAGAACGAGAACCTAAGTCTTGCATGCAATGATTCAAAGGAAAAACTGAATTATTCATGACATTGCCCCTAACCCTCCTAGGAAAAAAAATACGGAGCTTGGAGCGAATGGGATACTCAGATGAATTCACGCTCTGATTGGTTGGATTTTGCGTGACCTGTGACCTGCGCGTCATCAAGGTCATGACTCTGCAAGTTTGAAACGGCCGTTTAAGACTGCACTGATTCATTACTCTTTAATTCCAGTTTTTTTTTAGAGATGTTTATGT